TCACTTGAATAGTTAAAGATGAAGACTGGAGGCTTAAAATCATTCAGACTGAAACTTTTGCTGGCAGAATTTGAGAAAAAGAAAGAGGATGAATACACTTTTGCATATAAATAAAAGTATTACTCTAATGATAGACAAGAAAAACTAAAATGGCCTTGAGAAAAATGAAGAAAAAGAAGTAGGTTTTTGAATTGGAAAGAGTGGAAATGTCAATAAACCAGAATGTATCTTGAAATCAAAGAGTAGTTATACTACGTTACATTGCAAAAGTTAGAAGAAGCAAACGTTTAATTAATGATATTCTTATCAAACAGTTACATGGTCTAGAGTGTAATTATGGGTGTGGGTCACTGAACTATGACCATTAAACCTTAGCAATATTCTACTTAAACATAGGAAAAAGTCACAATAATACTCATTCTCACATATTGATTAGATATTTTTTTAGATGTCCTAGGAAAGCATTATAATAAATATGCACATAATTTAAAAGTTACATACAGAACTCATTTTTCGTATTTGTCTCCATAGAAATGATGAGCATTTTATTATTTTTTTGAAATAATTATAGACTTCAGCCAAAGAATTGAATATATGACTAACATACCAAAAAAAAAATGAAGTCCATTTCGCTAAGATAGGACTGTATTTTGTTCTGTTTACCGTCCAAATAATAGAGGCCTGTGTTTCCATTTCCACATCTTTCATGTGAACTAGTCGCTTTCCATCTGAAAGCCAAACTATATCCCATATTTAGTATTGAGAAGATCATTTATTTTATTTGCCATATTCAAAAAGTTTTAAGGTAAAGAAAATTAATAGAAGTAACTTATTTCAGGTATCTTTATTTTAGGAGAGTAACTAAAATATATGGTGTGAAGAAAGTAATTAAAATAATTATGTGTTACTATTTATTAGGGTACTTCTCAATCCCTTTAATTTCATTTCCATTAATTAATGTCTTGTGATTTATGGATCCACCCATAAAGAGACTGATATTAATCATGATTAGCTGTTAAATTAATGACTAATTCAAATGTATAATGTAGACAGTTCTGTAAGTAGATAATGATGGTTACCAACTACACAAACATTTGTAAAATGAGTGAATTTCAAGGTAAAACTTTTGAAATTATGAGAAGAATTTTTATAGAATGTTCTGTTAAATTATGATAAACTTATATTGAAAGATTACATTTTTCATTTCTCTCTGTATTATTAAAATCCAATTTACCATAAAAGAACCATCTGTTTCAAAAATAAAAATAATCTAAGTAATAAACTTCTTTTGCGTGTTCAATATCTATCCAGCTGTATCACATTATGAAAGCAGTTTTATAAAGTGTAGGATGATTACATTATGAATAGTCTACCTAAACCTTTAGGGCAGATTTGTCTACATTTTACTGTTATTTCAAAAGATGTTCAAACTAGGTATATTATTTGGAGAAGAACCACTACATTAGCGAATAATTCTAATTTTATATAATACTATTAAATAAGACACATTTACTGAAAATAATAGGACATAAAATTTCTTGTCAAGATTCTCCTTGAAAAACTTGCTCAAAATTTAAGAAAATACATTTCAGGGGTGAAAATGAAAGCAAACTTGATGTAGTCCAGCAAGAACCAACATAAGTATATTCCTAGGCCTTTCATTACTTCCAGGGGGCAGTTGAAGTTGAAGTTTTGTTCACTACTATCTGTTGTTGTTCACCAAGAGTGCATTCATGCACTGTATTCTCTACAGTAAAACAAACAAACAAACAAACAAAACAAAAAACAAACAAAAAACAATTTGTCACTGTGGAGTCTCTGAGAAACATTTTGTTATTATTTTAACTTTACAATTTTTATGACATCACAATAGCTTACTAATTTGATATTATTGTTGCAGGTTGGGGTCTCTTTGTACAGATGGACCTAATTAATAACATGATAAGGAAAGGGGAGGGAAAGAAAGAGGGATAGTGAGAGGGAAAGGGGTGAGATTCAGATTTCCTGAGACCAAACTTTGTCTTCTAAATATGTGATGTTGGACAAAGTTTATGATCAATCTCTGTCATGGCAACCTTGCCTATAATAGACAATAATAATAGTGTCTGAAGATGTGTTAAACTACTGTACATCAGTGCTTACGAGGTTGCCAGAAATATTTAACTACTTGATCAAGTCAACTTTTAATTAGTAGATGTAGTTGTGGTAGTAGATGTAGTATTAAGAGTAATATTCTCCCCAGTAGAGGCACCTGCCTGCCAAGACACATGCCAGGAAAGGCAACGGTGACCAAAAAATGTCACGTCCTTCGTAGTTGTGCCTTGTGCTGGACCTGTGACTCTTCTCCCCATGAAGCATCCCTACAACAACAAAACAAACAAGCAAAAAGAGAGTAGTGTTCTCCAACGTCTTTACCTACAAATAGGTTAACAAATAGGCTAGTTGGCTGTATCTATTCTGAGGACTCTAGTTTTTGCTAACAATATACAAAATCTGGGAAGTTATTATTATTTTCCATTTTTGTTGTAGGTTTAAGCTAAGCTCTCCTAAGTAACTTCATTAAAGTAAAATTATTGGCAAATTGTTACCACTAATAAAGAAAAAAATGTAATTTCTTATTTGCTTCTGAATTCTATTCTCTACCACTAAGAAAGTAGAGGATGAGAGGGTGAGAGGTATTAATTTCCTGTAGTGGTATACTTCTTTTATGGCAAGCCTCCCATTATGTTTCTTTTATATGTCTTAAATAATTTCATATTCCCCACATTTTCTTTTTCAGAATAATGTGAACATTGGCTTGAACATACGTCTGCACCTAGAACCCTAAACAAAAATATATATAATATTGTTAGCACTCTGGGTATTATCTTTATTTCCCCTTTCAGTCAGTACATCCTGCACCCAAGATTGACCTCTCTCATGACTTCTAATAGCTTAGACACATTTTGCCTATTTTGTAGTTTCATGTCAATGGAGCTGCATATATGCACTTTTGCATAAGATTTCTTACGGTTGCATGTAGTTATATGTCATTTCTTTTTATTACCAGATTGATAGGAGTTGGCTGTGTCCCCACCGAAATCTTAACTTGAATTGAATAATTCCCATGTGTTAAATTGGGCGCTAGGTGGAGATAATTGAATCACGGGGGTGGTTTCCTCCATACTGTTCTTGCAGTAGTGAATAAGTCTCATGAGTTCTGATAGTTTTACTAAGGCACAAGCTCTCTTGCTTGCTGCCTTGTAAGATGTGCCCTTGCTTCTCTTTTGTCTTCCACCATGATTGTGGGACTTCCGCAGACATGTGGAACTGTGAGTCAATTAAACCTGTTTCCTTTATAATTATCCAGTCTTGGGTATGTCTTTATTAGCAGCGTGAGAACAAACTAATACACAGATAGTATGCTATTTTGTGACAATGGCAAAATATTCTATTGATGGACATTTGGATTATTTCTAGATATTGTTTCTCTAAACATGCTAATATATGTATTTGGTGAATATATGTATGCATCATAATTAGATATTACATTTGGAGTAAAAATAGTGGGTAACATGTATAGCTAAGTAGATACTGCCAAAATTTATCAACAGTGATTGTATCCATATATACAAGTTATGGTTACCCTATATCCATGCTAATACTTGTTATTATTAGGCTTTTACATTTTTACCAACAAAATGATTATACCAATATCTAATTGTAAATTGAAATTGAATCTTCTCAATTTGTAATGTATTAAATACCTCTCATATGTTTGTTATTTAATAAACTCTAAAGTATTACTTGGAGAAAAAAGATATTGTTCTTTTCTGATGGTTATCACTGTGAATATGACTATAATTTTCAAAAAAAAGTTAACTTAGATTTGCAAAATGTTAAAGTGCAAATATTGGGCTGGCGTGGTGGCTCACACCTGTAATCCCAGCAGTTTGGGAGGCACTGGCAGAAGGATCACTTGAGGTCTGGAGTTTGAGACGAACCTGGGCAATATTGCGAAACCCCATCTCTACTAAAAATACAAAAATCAGCTGAGTGTGGTGGTGCACACCAGTAATTCTGGCTACTCAGGAGGCTGAAGCATGAAAGTTGCTTGCACCTGGGAGGTGGAGTTTGCAGTGAATCAAGATCACATGACTGCACTCCAGTCTGGGAGACAGAGCAAGATTATGTCATAAATAAATAAATAAATAAATAAATAAATAAATAAAATAAAGTAAAAATGTTATTACCTATAATATGAAACAATAGATTAATTCTATTTGACAACTATTATAATCATTGTGTTACTGTAAATAAATGTTAACATTCTAATGATAGGCACTTACACAGACATTCATTAATTCTACACAAAAATATTCAGTCTCTTCTGCCTTTGTTTATGTTTTTTCCTACCTACATTTCACATCATCCCAAATCTATTATACCTATTAAACTCCTACACCTCCGTTAATGCTATCCCCAAAAGCAACAATAAAATGGAGTGCATTGCTATTTTTTCAACAGTTTTACTATTTCATTTTCTGTGTATACAAAGAACACACTAAA